GTAGAGTACTCTAACTTGGTATGGAGATATATCAAACCAATGGCATAATCACGGAGAAAAATTGTGATTATTGGAAAAGGGGTCGTGGCACCTTCCATACAAACCGAATTTATCATACTGCATATCTCTGGAAGTGTTCGTGGTAGAGTACTCTAACTTGGTATGGAGATATATAAAATCAATCGCATACTCATGGAGAACAATTGTGGTTATTGGAAAAAGGGGGCGTGGCACCTCCCATACAAACCGAATTTTTCATACCGCATATCTCTGGAAGTGTTCATGGTAGAGTACTTGAACATGGTATGGAAATATGAGAAATCACTCCCATACTCTTACAAAAAATTGCGGCTATTTTATAAGGGGGGTGTGGCGCCTTTCAAACGGTACTGAAGCTATTACGTATCTTTGTATGCATATACAATTTTGCTAGGTTATTTAAGATGGTAATGGAAATATGCCTTCCGACAACCACGAAACCGTAATATTAGAAGATAAACGCGTCACTGAAAATCATGGACGTGAACTGTTGGTGAAAATGTTGTACCAAAATGTTTCAATACAAAAAATTAATTTTGGGCGGGACGAAGTTCGCCGGGTCTGCTAGTCATTTATATAATCTCTTTAATTTACAAAGTAATTTAAAAATGTATTAAATATTTAATTTTCAAGCAATTGAGCATTTCAATTCAATACCTTTCACGACGATAGTACTATCGATACTATCGATGTTGTCAAATATCGTTTCGAAAACTATCGAGTGGCGGTACTATTGATAGTATCCCAGCTCTAGTAAAAAGTACCTCTTTGGAACTTCTGAGTGGAAGAGTCGCCATAACAGAATTCACAACTTTTTGTTGTTGCTGCCAAAAATTGAAATGTTGAAAGTTGATACGCCGCGATTTCAGACATTCATAGAGTTTTCTGTATATTGTATGCAACCAAACTACTAAACGGATGGACCGATTTAATTCATATTAGAGTTGCGCTTTGGCCGACATATTCATAAAATTCTGATACACTGGGAGAAGGATAGATATCTACAAGCATGGCCGTAGCCAGGTAGGGTCAAGGTAACCGGTTTGGGCGCTGGGTTTTGGCCCCGCTACGTTAAAACCCGCCCAATGGAAAAAAAACCCATGCGTCGGATGATACCCCCTTCTTTTGATGACGATCACGGTAAACATAGGAAGGATTATGATTTGAGGGTATGCACCTGGAATATCCGAACCCTTACTCGGGCCCGGCTGGTTGATGTCCCATAAAATAAGGGCTGACGTCACCCCCATTCATAAAATGCGATGGGCGGGGCGACGAAGGTAAGCATGGTACCTTGCGACGTCTACTACAGTTGCCACGTAAAGGAGCGCAAGTCGGTGTTGGATTTGTGATGGGACGAACGTCTATCCACAATCCGCATCAAAGCGAGAATCTTCAACATCTCGCTCATATGTGCCAATGCCGCGATGGAAGAGAAGGACGAGGCATCCAAGGATCAGTCAACTCAGAGCGTACATATTAGCGCTGCTCCCGACACGTATAAAAATCGTGCTTGCCGATTTAAATGCCAAGGTGGGCAACGAAGGGATCTTTGGCCAGTGTCGGAAAATTCAGCCTCCACATAGAAACTGCGGGCTGAGGCTGACCGACTTCGCTGGGGCCCGAAACTTGGCAGTATGTAGTACTGGGTTCTAGCATAAAAGTATCCCTCAATCTACATGGCTGTCCCCAGATTGAAAAACGGGAATCCAAATCGAGCATGTTGTGAAAGGCGGAAGGCATGCTTCCAGTGGTTTAGATGTACATACGTACACTCCGAGGGCCAAACATCGACTCGCACCACTATATTGGTGCAGCCAATATACAACCCCACATCGGTGCAGCAAAAAAGGGCCCCAATAGTGCAAGGAAAGTTCAACGTCGAAATGCTGCAATCAAAACAGACGGTCAATGGATTCGCCGCTCGACTCTCACACCTGCTGTGAGAGAGCACTTTTCAGCAAACCGAAATACGCGATCAGTGGACCACATTTCCCGCTCATTACTGGTACGAAGAGGAGTGTCAAGAAGATGCAGAGAAAAATGCATGAAATGCTGGCCGACACCCGAAATTATAAGCATAGTGTTGAGCGACTTACGGAAGGTTTCAAGACTCCTGTAGGAACAAACATGGCGACCTAGTACCAGTCCAGAACATCCAGAACGTACTCAAATTATGGAGGGAACACTTTTCGAACCTTTTGAATGGCAGAAGCACTGAAAGAAGTGGAGAAGACGAACCCGAGTCCCCAGTCGATGCCGATGGAGTCGATATCCCAGCGCCTGACTATGACGAGGTACGAATAGCGATTATGCTGATGAAAAGTAACAGAGCTGCTTGAGCTGACGGCCTGTCGGCTGAGCTATTCAATTACCATGGCAAGGAGCTAATAAGGTGCATGCCCGACGACTGGAATTCAAGTGCGCTCTGCCCAATCCACAAGAAAGGCGACCCCGCCATGCGTGCCAACTACCGCGGGGCAGTGATTAAATTGATGGTACAATTGTAGGGCTGCCAGATATCTCTGTTGCCAAACCGGGACACTTTAGGGAGGGTCTCTTGCTCCCTTCTCTTTCATTTCGACGTGCGAAAGGATGTAGTG